TTGAAATTTGAACCCAGGTCATACCTCTGTGTAGAGATTTTTGTAGTGAACATTGGTCAAAATTAATTTTAGTAAAATATGTTTTTATTTTAACACAAATTATTTAAAATTATTTATTCTCAATATGACACCGATCATATAAATATTTGGTTAAAATCACATTAACTTATATTTAATCATGATTTTAATTAGATAATCTAACATAAATTTAAACAAGCACTAAGTTAAAATATTCTTAAACCTTCCCCCCACCCCCAAAGTAACTTTTACATAAACATTCTAGACTTAGAAAAAACTCGGTATTCTCCACTTGAAAAAAATATATATATGACAGAAAAGTTTTAAAATTGAAAACCTCACATTAAAAGCTAATCCAAAATCCATTTAACATATCAAATTACTAATTAAAATCGTTAACCGAACAAGATAATGATTGAAGTGAAGCTTAGGAAAGAAAAGTGACAAGCTAATTAATTGGTAAAAATCAAGTGGATCAGGATAAAGCAACTTCCCTGTACAAAGATAGACCACTCCAAAAAAGAAAGTACTTTGATTCTCTTCACTCATTCTCATGAACCACGAATTTTTTTTATCAACAGTACAAACAGACACAGCATGATGTTGGAAATGTTCATAAAAATTAGAATTAATTACTGTGCTAAAAAACAAAAATCATTGCTTATATTGATCTTCAACACATAAATCAAAAGATTTTGAGAGGGGAGGGATGCAATGGAATTATCCAACCATCACCATGAATAGATGGATAACTTCACGTGAACTTCTATTCCCCAAGCAATTATTTGCAAAGGGAAAGAAAAGAGACGTAAAAACTCACGAGTTGTAAAAACATCATGCACAGGATATAGTAGTAACATGCAGTCACAATTAAGACTAAGCATGATGATATACTAAAGAAACTTATCGTGAACAGCACACACACATACAGAAATCTAATAATTGTAAAGGTTAGAAAAGAGAATTTTGGTGTCAACAATAAAAGGAGTATTTCAGAATTGAGACCGAAAGATATTCGAGAATAAAACACATAATAGTGAAACCGCACTTTAACATGAAGAAAAATAGCAATTTCATGTCCATAAATAAGAATTAGCTACACATAGCATACCAAACCAAGAAATTAATAAGACCACAAATATAATAAGAGAAGCATTACTTATCATTGTTTTTAATAAAAGTACGAACACATTATTTCTATGCATTGCCAAATTACAATAAAATTCAGGGACTCATTTGCCAGAATCTAAAGTTAGTTTAGAACCACCATTTGTGATTAAGGTTTGAGAGTGATCACAAACAACACATGCAATATAATAACGAGTTAAAACAGAATAATCACTTTGTTAATCTATTTGTTTGGTCATAAAATTAAGATTTATTCATATAAATTTTAATGAGAGAAACATGTACCTACGAATGACTTGTTCTTATAGACACAATAACATGATTCTTTTTAGAAAGACAATGACTATAGATAAAACTAAAAACTATATCTACCAACAAATATTTGGTATATATGTAAAACTTAAATTTTTGTACTTCCAACAATTTGTTGTAGCTAAAACTTACAAAATTGTTATTTTATAATTTACATAATGAACAAATAAATCGTCTGTAGGTAAATGTAAAATAACAACGATTTATGTTCTTCATTATCAGTCTATTTTTTGTACTTATTTGAAAAGAAAGTAAAAATGTAAAATAAATAAGTTATTTTTATAAGTTAAAATTAATATATTATATATTAAAATGTTTTTTTTTTGGAGAATTTTATCTTATTTAATCTCTAAAAAAGATAATTTTAAATTGTGTTTAAGTTGATTTTGATTTTTTTTTCTTTTATGTATTTTCTTACAATTATTAAGAAAAATTATTTAAATAAACCCTAAATCAATTAAATTTGCTCGCAGCAAACATTACTAATCAAGCAGATCCCCAAAATTCATGTGTACTTCAGTCTGAACAGTGATCAAGTGCATTATGCTTACCAAATGCAGACATGTAACTGTGTGTTCCAATACCATTATTACGTCAACCATGTGATTCCTGTATCTTATGAGAGATATATACTCAAAAATACAAAGGGAGGAGGGTCCTCCGCACACAGCAAGTTAAATATTATACTCCAAATTTATAACACACAATCATTCAAGTATGATAAGAGAACAAAGTCAGGTATTGAAAGTACCAAAGCTTTGCATATACTCCTGAATCCAAATATGTAAAGCAAAACATTTAGTTGGCAACAAACAAGCCAATGTCGAAATATCAACATGCATGACAAATAAATTTTGAAATTTTCTAAAATTACCCTGGTAAGGACTTAAAATAAATTAAAAGAAATTGGCATATAGGACTTAATAAATTAATATAGGTAATTCATGCTTCATCAGTGAAAAGACAAAATCGGGTTTGTTTTTCTGTTGACAAGATATGTTGTGTAGGACAGTTCATGAACATTATACCGACAAAGAAAAATATCACAAAGGAAGGAAAAGTAAGGACAGGATTGAAAGTGGTTTGATACTCATAACACAAACCCAATTTGACATTAAATAATTAACTCCTATATATCCAACCATCCCAGAAGCAGTTGTAAACATCACGAGCTTTACATTAATAATTCACCACACTGATTAAAAACCATAAGACATACAAGTTGAATTTTATTTTCTTCTGAGGAATAAAATAAATAATAACCCAATGCACATGACAAAATTCACCAACATGCAAATTATGTTAGGACAACAAAGGGGGAATGGCATGTGCAATGACAATCAATACATGCAATGTACACAACAACTTCATTTGTATATTTATCAATAGTCAGAAATAGCGGCTATTAAGATTCTGCCACAAAAAACAAGTGGCACACACACATCTGCAGCTTCTCAGTAATTATACTACTATATAATAGCAAGAGCTGAGTAGGCAAAATTCATAAATATTCTGGTTAACAAAAAGGAATGCCAATTTAAATATGGTAAATGGTTCTTACTTGTCAAGGAATGATACTTTCATGCTAGAACAATGCAAAAGCAATGTGTAACCAACATCGGTGCAAATTAGAATTAAGGCGTGCAGATAGTGCTTGGTAAAGTGAAGCACCAGGGGGCACCAAAACGGAGCAACAGAAGCATTAATAAGCCTTGATTTACACGATTAGACAACAACATTGAAAAATGAGACCAGAATAACGTTGCAATCAAATCATCTATCACTGTTTCCTTTCTATACAAAAGTTAAATATATAATTTATCTCCCGTACGTACTAATGATTCTCGGTTTGTCTTTATACATAAAAATAAACCGACTCCTATGCTAATAATATAATTAATCTAATAATGTTGTCATTCATAAACTGTTATCTAATACATTTTTAATTTAAACTTTATATATATATATATTTATTGTATATTCTTAATTCAGTTTTTATTTAAAAGAATGTGCTATATGTAACAAGAAAATAAAGAATAGGTAAAAGGGTTAATGATGACAAGGAACTCCAGTAATTAAATTTGTAACATTTAAACTATTAAAAATTGATATAATAAATTTTTATATACATGTATTAAGTTGAGAATTTATAACATATGTATAGACTAAATTATATGGTTGTATTTAAAAATAAAATATGAAACGCTTTCTATGTTTTTAATCATTAAATATATTTTACTTTGCATTTAACTTTATAAAATATTAAATGAGTTGATATAAAAGATACTATATTACTTGTTAAAAAGTTATACTTATGTATAGGAAACATGACACATAAAATAACTTTATTATTATGTGTGAGCGAGAAAACTAAATACCAATTATTAGATCGATCAAGATTAAAATACACAAACTCGATCATGTGAGTTTTCTAAAAAGTCAAATAACTTTTGTAAAATAGTTGCATATATTAATTAATTATATCACTTCTAGAAGAAAAGACCTCTTTTTTTCAAAATAAAAAAAGAAAAGAAAAGAAAAAGAAAAAGCATCCTCTTACTATATACTAATATGCTATTAACCAAGAAAAAGAGAACATTGTAAGCGTTTATGAGTTTGTAATTGAAGGAGTGAGAAAGGGACACGACAGTGTAAAAGTTAATAAATTCTACCCCAATAATGTTAGATGAGATGAATGGCTGGGCATAGGCGATGGTCAGATTTGCAGACAAGAACAAAAGGAAAATGAGAGTACATCATGCCTTGATGAATACAGAAATTTAGCATGCTGATTACGCATCAGTGAGATGTTGTGACCATAAACTGAGATGACAAGGACACCCACATTACTGATAGTGACGTTTCAACTACTTCTCATGCCCAAAGTCTAAAGCACCACGATAAGTAGTGAATCGCACATTTATTTCTAGTCTATACTAAACCCAAGCAAACTAACATTGCAGGATGCAAGAGTTGTCCATCTATATAATTATACCACTTTTCCCAACCCAACCCATATACAACATCAAAGTTGCATAAATCGAGATAAGGGACCAAATCAATATGCTATAACTATCTCATGTTAAGCTCAAAATATATCTGGAAACAACACTCAACATACAGCAAAGTATAAATATGTATCATCAAAACCATAGAATTATTATGGATTTTACGTTTTGGAAATTTTAAACAGGGAATAGGGCAGAAGAAAAATGCGATACGGCAGCCAATAAAACACTAGTAATATAATTAAAGAGTGATATTCTCATAAAATTTTACCGTTCTACGTTTTATTCATTTTTTTTTTCTCTTCTTATTTCTATCTCTTGCATGGAAATTGTTTTTAAAAAATTATCATAAGAATAAATCATATATATATTTTGAACAGTAAAGTCGGTAAAAACAAGATTCTTTTGAGATTTGCTTTTCAATTCTGAGTTAATTAGGTGTATAAACTATTCTCTTGACATGACTTGGCTCTTTGGAATCCACCGAACTGCTCATGCAATGAGTCAACCAAGATGGAAAATTGGACAAAGAAAGGAACAAAAACCGAGGAGTTGAAAAATGCAGAGTGACATGTCATAAGATACAAACTTAGAAGAATCTTAATATTAATTCAACTTAATTATAACCCTCTAATTAACCCTCCCAAAACCTCAATAATATTGGTAAAACAAGAAAATTACCCTACAATAAGTCAGGCTTTCCAAGCCCATCATCTATGTAGAACTTGGAAAGAACAATTTAATTTATTGGATTACCATAGTTTGAAGAACCTCCAAGTAACCCTCCACCAGAAGCTGCATAGACCTCAGAAGGATCCAGCATTGGAGAACCATTTCTCCCACCACCACCATCACTTGCAGTTGCAACATTTCCACCCAAATGCAGTTCAGATATATTAGGATACCCCTCTTTATCCTCAGCCTCAGTCCCTTGATCATAAAGAAACCCTTTGAAGACATGGCCACCAATCTTCACAACAGCCTGATACGCATACTCGTCTTCCCCATCATCCACTGCCGTCACACGAACACACTTGAACACCGCCGGTGCACGCACTTGACAGGGTAGTGACTCCTTGAAACCCACATCTGCACACGATTCAACAAACCCTACTCAATTCCCACACAACAAAACCTTCAAAATCCCAAAACATCAATATAATGTCTATCTACTAGCTATAGACCCTCAACCTCAATCAATCAAACACATGCTACTAAAATATTACTAAAACATACTATAAAAATTTATTCTAAAGTTATTTTAACACTAGTACTACCTTAAACTTCTTATTAGATATTTATAATTAACTATAGTCTATAGACACCCATATTCTATAGTATGCGCATGTAATAACAAAATAATATTAATTTCTTAAAAATTGCAAAAAATTATTTCCAAAGTATTTTAAAACTATGGATATCAATGCAAAATAGAGATTCTCATATGAAATTTTCATATATACAATCCTTTTACATAAAAATTTTATAAACTAAATAAACTTATTGGGATTTTGAGTATAGCTTGCAGAGACAATCTCTTGATGTTCAATTTTTGTGGTGTAAAAAAACTTTCAAACCTTTCCGAACAGCATAACGCGAGACATTAGTCTCTAACCCTTTAGGTTAGGGGAAAAAAAAAAAAAAAGAAGCTAAGAGTTGGTCCTAAACTTTCTGGAAATGTTAGCATAAAGTTAGATGCAATTTCTGAAGTGTTGTTTAATGTTTTGTCGTAATAAAAATTTGCTTTAAATGTCTGTTTTGAAAGTATAAAGTGGGAAGACATTGGAGACGCAAACCTTGGTGGCTAGAACCCGTGTCGAAACTCCTAGGAGGAGTGGTGTTATTAGAGGTGGAAGTATGCGAAGTGGTGGTGGTCTGAGAAGCAACAATCCTGGCTTTCTTGGCGCCGGAGGTGGAGCCAGTGGAGCCAACCGCCGCCGTGACGGCCATGAGCTGGCGCTCCCTCCGGCGCGCAGCAGGCACCCACGTGCTCTTCACGTGCGTAGCGCAATCGAAACCCCTACTCTTGCAGCACGTCCTGCACCTCCTGTGACTGCAATCCTTCTTCGCCTGGTTCCCGCAGTCCTGGCACGTGCTCCCCGCACTCCCACTCGCCTCGTGTTCCACGTGCTGTTGCTGCTGCGGCGGCGGAGACTCCTGATCTTGCCATAACTGAATTCTGTTACGGTGGTGGTGGTGGTGGTGGTTGTGGTTGTTGTTTCCCATTATGCCCTCGTGACCCGGGGACCCGTGCCCTTGCCCTTGCCCTTGCCATAGCTGAATTCTGTTGCGGTGGTTGCTGCTGACGCTGTTTCCCATTATGCCCTCGCTCTCCAGGCACGGCGCCGCCGCGCTTAGGAGGGGGAACACGTTCACGCCGAGTGCAGTGGAGTTCGTGCCGCTGCCGTTGTTCGGATCCGACAAAACGGCGTCGTTGTGGTGGTGGAACGAGGAAGCCGGCGCCACCACGTAGATGTCGTGGTGAGGTGCCAGGTTGTAGTTGAATGACCTCGACGCCCCCGGCCACATGGCTGCGCCGCCGTGAGCCGCGGCGGAGGAGGCATTGAACCCGAGTGACAGATCCTCGGCGGCACGCCCCGAGACGGCAGAGGGAGTGGCTGTCCAGTCGGCGAAGGCACCGGAATCTGAAGGGAATCTCCTTGTAGTAGCCACAACTAAATGTATTTTTTCTTTTAAGACAATCTTGTTCGTGGCAAATAAGATAATCTTGTTCGAATCACATAAACCCGATATAAATCAACTCAACTCAGTTATATAAAATAATAATCTTAAACAAAACAAAATAATTCTCAACCCTTTTGATGCATCAAATATAGTAATATAAAATATACATGTGGTGTTGAGTTGTGTTACATATAATAACTAACAACTGTAACAAGAAGACATGGATATTTTAGTGTTAAGAACTAAGAGGGTGGTTATGATTGTCAGACTGAGAAGAAAAGGTTGTTGGATCTTCTGGGGGGTTTGGAAGGGAAATCTAGATGCGTGGGGATTACTTGCTTAAAGTGGGGTCTCTGCAAGTGTATCAGAGAGAAATAAAGAAGAGTGAGATTTATGAAAGAGGGTGAGGGTGGAGAGGTGTTACTTTTAGCACTAGGGTGTGTGTGTGTGTCTGCTTCTGCTGATTTATCTTCTGTTACTGTTACTGCGGTGTTTGAAGGAAGAAAAGGTTGGTTGAAGAGAAAGGAAGAATGAGGTTCTGAATGGTTCAGAGGGGCAGTGAGCAGTGGATGAGAAGATCAGAAAAATGCAATAACGACCTATGTTTGTGTTTTTTTCAGTTCTTGCTGACCCTTAATTTCTCTCTCACTCACCATCTTTATCTTTTCTTCATTCAGAAGAAAAACTAGAGCTTCACTTTCTCTCTAGCTCGCACTTTCTCCCTAAGTAGCTAGAAAGGAAGCTGAATGAAGGTGGGTTTCTCCCTAACCTTTTCTCACCGTGTGTTTTTTCTCTCTCTCTCTCCAATAATCACTTTGGTATAAGTGTGTATAGTAGAAGAGAGCATAGAAGAAAAGATATTTAAAGCCTGCAAATGCATAAAGACTTTTGTTCTCTAGTTATTGTAATTTTATGGACCCTCTCTTCTAAAGTCACATGAAGGTGAGGCTCGCTAGCATCCCGTTACATGTGGGCGAGGGCACTCTTTCTTTCCTATTGGCGCGTGCGTCAATGCTCACCGCACAAAAACGAATATAGCCCCAAACTCGTGCTTAAAAAAATGCACAAACAAATTCACTTATTTAAAATAGCATTTTTTTTAGATTATATATATAAGATAGATGATTTTATTAAGTTTTTTTTTCAGGTATAATTAATTCATAAAGAAGTGTAAAATTTACATTAATTTAATTTCTAATAAATTAATAATTAATTACTCAAAATAATTCTTTTTATCTATTAGAATTACAATACCATTTTGATATTAGAGTTTAAACTATTTTGATATTAGAGTTTAAACTTAAGAGTGAATACTTATTATTCCAAATCTTTTTATTAGACTAACTTTAATAGTTCATTTAATATTTTTTTAATAATCATGGTATTAATACTTCACTGTAATTGTAAATATACATAAAATAAATATTTTTTTAATAATATAATTTCATACACCAACAATGTTAGATATTAATTGTCAATATTAGGTAAGGTGTACATATAATCAACAAGTTATAAATGTAATAAAATAACAACCGTTAAAAGTGTTTTTAGTTTCATGCTAACAATAATTAGAATTAACTTTGACAGCAATTAAGCATTTTTAAAAGAAAATTGTACCATTTTATTTATTTTTAAAAAATTATAGAAAAAATGTTATAAATTAGTGGAAGTAGAGACAACTTTTTTGAATAGTGAGAAGTAACATTTCGTTGAAGAGATAAAGAAAGTGCCAGAAAAAGTAATAAATAAATAAATATAATGGTTAAATTTTAATATTTTAAATAAAATTGTCTTAGAAAAAACAGACACAAAAGCAGTTAAAAATAACGATATCAAACAATATCACCTTAACTTATGGATATTTATATGTTTTTATTTAATTTTTAAATTTGTGCACTTCACAGCAAAAGAATGAAGATATAATGCAGAAGTACTGTAACAAATTGTACGTTTAAAATTGAAAATGCGACATGCATATAAATGTTTTGTTGTTGTCAGATAAAATTGATTTTGTCCCAAAATATCAATTTAACTAAAAGTGATATAAAAAAAATACTGTGTTAGAAAATATCACTTGAAAATATTTTTAACTAAAATTATTTTTATTCAAAATTAATTATTTAGACGATCATCAAAGACATACATTAATTTTTTTTGTTACTTAATCATTTTCATTTATTCCTACAAAAGCTACAAGGCTCAGGCTCTCATACAGTACTGCGCGTGAAAATGGCGCGCTGTTGCTATGTTTCTCAAATTATTTGCTTTGGAATAATGGAAATTTATTTTAAAAGTTATTAATTGTTTGTATCATATTTCACTACCAAAAAGAAAAAAAAGGTGTTATTATATTAAACCTATGGCCTAAGAAATTGAGTAGAATAGTGGCAGTGTAGCATTCACCTACACTGTAGTCTATAATCTCTAGTGTCACCCATATCTTTCGCCTTTTTTTCTTAAGATAGTACTTCCTACCATATATTTAAATTGAAAAAACTTTAAAGATTAAAAATATATTTGATTCTTATAAATATATTGTTATTTGGTATACATTTATACATTGATTTAATTTGTATCTCTAATTTAATTATAAGAAAATGTTGATAGATATCTTTAAAATATTATGGAAAAATAAAAATGATTTTTTTATAAATTACTTAATACATAATGTTATCAACTTATTCTCTCATATTTTTAATAAAAAAAATTAATTATTAAATAATATTTTAGAATATTCATTAATATAACCATTAATTATGTGTGTAATCATTCTATGCACACTCTTTTGTTATATTCAATCTTTATTTATACTTATTCCTGATTTTTTTTTAAAGAATTATGTCATTTTCATTTTATTAATTCAAAATAACGTGTATGAATTTAAAATTACTTTAAATTTAAGATAATCATTGTATAGTTAAATATAATTTATTTAAGGAGATAAGATTCTCTTGTTATTTTTATTCACAAAATTTAAATTTAAATCCTTAAAATTAAAATAAATTTTATGTCGTTTAAACTAAAAATCATTTACACTTTCAATCTCAAGTTTAGTAAAATTGCTTTTTTTTTTTTTTCCTTTTTATGGTGCAAAAAGATTTACATATTTCTCAAACTTTTTTCAAAGTACGAATATTAAATGTTGGAAGTATACTCCTCGAGCCCGGTCTAGTTGCATCTAATGCATGTGAGGAAAATTGACTTAAAAATGAAAACCCTAAATCCTAAAGTGTTTAAATGACTTCTAGATGAGTCATCTCATAATGGCATGTGACATATTTTTGAAAAAGACAATTTAGTAAGTAAACAATTTTGGTGTTACTTTCATATAAGCAGTTTCGTATTTACAAGAATCATCTACAAGTTGAATTTTATATGGTCATATATTAATTATTTTTAATTTAAGTATACCAAAATAGAAACTGAATACAACTTTAGAAAATTAACGAATACTAACGGAAATATCTTAGATACGAAGCAATGCACTTGCAAGGGCTAAACTATTTAGATGGTTTCTTTATTTGGTCAAAATACTGATCCATGAATTCTGTGCATGAAATAAGGAATATATATATATAGGTCAACATCCAAAATCATAAAGAAGATGGTGATTTGGCTTTAAAATAGGATCCAACTTATGTAAAGACATTCCTAAGCTTAATTTTTTTTATTATTTAATTCCTAAGCTTAATGTTTGCCAGTAGTGACTTAAAAATAATTACTAACTAGTGTTATTAAAAGACTGATTAAAAAATTAAAAATGAAAATCTTTCATTAAAAATTATATATTTGCACATTTATCTAAATAACTTTGTTATAATTTTCAATAAAATTTTACATTTGTCGATTCTTTAATTAATGTCTTGAATACTGTTAAAAAAATTTACATTTGATGATTCTTTAACTAATATCTTATTAAGTGCAGTTTGTACTATTCCCAATTAGAATTGAAATTTTATTTTAATATTATATAAATGTATTTGAAGCAGATCTCATTAATACACATTTATATATATTATTAATACACATTTTAACTATAATTAAAAAATATTAACCATATCTAAAGAGTTATACTTAAATTTTATCCTAAAAACTATGTTAGTATAAATATACAAGAATATCGTAAGTCACGCCATCCTTCATAGCATGTAGTGTTGTCCATCCCAAGGTAGTACTATCAAAATGTTTGGAGCTATATACGAATTTAACAACACTACATTATATTGAATGTTAAGGGTCGTTTTTAAATTATGATATTTTTTAAGAATAATTTTTTTAATAAAAGAGTTTATCCTTCCAATCTATTCTTTTATTTTTATTTTAATTTAAATATTAATATTTTATAAATATAATAATTAAAAATAACATATTTCAATATAAATTATTTATCATGAATAAAGAAATATAATTATATATTTAAAATATTTATTATAAATTTTAATTATATAAAATAAACATGTGTCGTGTGTATACTACTTTATTATTATCTCTATTCTTATATACAAGACCCAATTACCTAAGAATAAGAAAAATAATTAATTTAGTTGATAACAATAAATTGGTTCTATTTATATTTTTCTTCCTAAAATTACCCTTATACTACTTATCTTTCTTAATTAATATTCATATTTTTTTAATCATGCATGTCCTATACTATTTCTTTCTCTTAATTAAGACTCATAAAGCACATGGTTTTTAAAGAAATTATATTTAACACATTTTATTAAATTTTAAAAATAATTTAATTAAAGATATTTTAGTCTAAAATTAATTAATATATGAGACAATATGAATTGAGTCTTGTGTAAAAGAACAAACAAGTGTTCTACATTAAATCTTATTAATAGTAAGAATGCGAATAAGTTATTTTATGAAATTAAAGCCTAAATTCAACTTATTATTTATCATAGGTATTTTTTTATAGGTTGACATTTTTAAAAGTCCAATCTATCCCATTAGTCTATTTAAAAGTTTATTTTATATTAACAACATTAAATAGAGTAATAATATAGTTTGAAATAAGTCAACAATTATGTTTTTAAATACATGTGTGAGTCTTTTTCTAATTTGCATGATAAAAAAAATAGCTATAATAAGTATAGCTATAAAGGTGATCAAGGAGGGAAATAATGGGACCAAGGCAACAAGACATGTGGCAAATGATGAGAGAATAAGGTGTAGCACTCGACCCAAAATAACGAATTCCAAGTTGGTTGATTTCATGTGGTCCAAAAGCTAATATAGGTAGCACTTATGAGAGAGAAAGGGGCATGAAAATTGTAGATCATTTTTCTTCTTCAAGTGGATCGGAACATACTCTGTATTTTTTTCCTGCAAATTATGTTTCAATTGTACTCTTGTTAGGTTCATTTCGTTAAGAAACCTTTGTTGTTATTCAACAAGAAATTTCATTTCCTTCATTGTTTCCTTGTTCCTTATGGTACCATCTTGTTATATTGGTGCTTTCATCCTTCGAACATGGCAGATAATACAAGTCTCAAGGAACTTTTAGTGAACATGTCCAAGCTTTTGGAGATGCTAGAAGTGGATCGACAAGAAAATAAGACTCGTTTCGAGACTTTGGAAGCTGCGGTTGATACATTGTTGAAGTAGAATCTGAATGCGGCGGGAACTAGCTTTGGTGGCAGCAACCTATATCATCTCCCGTTCTAGGTGCGTAATGTGAAGCTTGATTTTCCTCGCTTCGATGGATCTAAAGTTCTTCAGTGGATCTTTAAGGTAGAGCAGTTTTTTGATTATTACAACACTCAAGACACTCAATGTCTCATGATCACTACAATTCCTATGGAAAAAGAGGTAGTTCCTTGGTTTCAAATGACCAATAAATCTACTCCATTCAGTCGGAT